TGTATATTATCTTTAGTAGTAGTTTGAACATAGTTTCAAAGTAGTGGAGGAGTTAAAATAAACCCACAACAGACATTTGGGTAAGGAGTGTCAGTGTTGATTTATGAGAAAGTCGACCAGGCGGCAGCAACAAAAGCGCTGCTGGCTTCACAGGACAGATTTGTGGAGTTTTTAAAATGAAAACTGGCACAATTTGCAGTCACAGTATATTTCACATGCTTTGCAGTAATGTTAGTTCACCTTTCCAACAGGATGAATGTCAAGTCTGTGTCGGTTTTGTCAGTTTCAAAACAAAGCGGAGGTCTCTCTGTGACTCAAGCCTTTCTGATGATGACGACTTTGTTTGTACCCGACAAATAGGCAGTAAAAAAGTGATTAGTAAATAAACACTACATGTAGCTCCTTTAATCGAGTATTCTTCTTGTGTGAGAAATAAATTTTATCCTTAAGTTGAGTAAGATTTGGATTTTAGGCCGTCATGTAAAACAAGCACTCTTCGGCTGCTCGCTGAAACGCAACAGTCACAAACGGCCACCAGGAGGCAGCATCAGCACTCCTTTATCTTCATGTGTCACAGCAGTGTTTGTGCTCTGTGGGGATCATCCACAGTTGACTTGGCCTGGAATGATTCAGCAGGGTGTGTCTCTTTCTTTCAGGGGATGATCTGTGTGTCACGAGCCAAACAACATACAGCGAAAACACAAGCGCAATCAATCCTGTTCTGGACGAGCGAAGCTGCATAAAGGAAACATGGAGTCCAAACACACAGCTGTTCTCACTCTGAGGATGTTTGTTTACTGCAGTTTCTCAATCTGTCCTTCACACACACAGCCTCGTGGCACTATCTTCGTCGGGACCTGTCATTTATACAATGCATTCCCCAACCCCTTGACCTGAAGACTTGATCCTTAAAAAGCACTTCAAACCTGCGGGGTCCAGCATTTTGGTCCCCACAAATCTGTCGGACCCCACAAGTATAGTGGAATCCCAGAATTTGGACCCCATGAATACAGTAAAACAAGCCCCCCCCCACACACACACATCTGACTGCAGTGTCGTCACTTCTTAATTAATTGAACAGCTAATGTAGGAAGGAAGTTCCTTAATAGCATCAGTGACCTGGAAATGAGTTGGAAGCAAGAAAAGAAGCCGTGGATGTACTCAGATCATTACCACAGTGTAGAAATACTCTGTTACAAGTAAAAGTATGAGCATTAAGAGATAGTACCAGCAGTAAAAGTAGTCATTATACAGAATGGTACATAATATTACACTATAATAATAATACATTACTTTGTTCACCACTTTAATGTTGCAGCAGGTAAAGCAAAATCTTTATATAAATGGTACTTCTGGGAAGCCTGTGAACCCCCGTCCCCCTCCAATCAATAAAGTCTTATCTTAACCCCTACTGATGCATAAACTGTTGCACTGAATCTGCACAGTATCTAAAGTTCTCAAATAAATGTAGTGGAGTAAAGGTATAAAAATAGCTGAAAATAGAAATCAAGTACCTTAAAATTGTACTTAAGTACAGTACTGTGACAGTAATACCAAATTTCTGGAGTCTCTGTTGGACAAGTTGATGCATTGTTAAAGTTTTGGGTCATAATTCAGAATGAGTTCTGGGTCACGCAGAGTGACAGCTTATTTACAAAATATGTTTAAAAACGTCCAAGACCTCAAAGACACGTGTGGCAGAAAACAGAAAACTTCATGTGTTGTTTTCTCTAACATTAAGTTTTTTCTCTTTTACAGTTCAGTTCTGCAGGTATTTTGTCACAACATTGAAACTTTGACCTGAAGATGAAAAGCCGGAGGATCACCAGAGTTAATCCAGTTCATCCTGAGGGGAACATGAATGTTTGCCCCAAATGTCATGTCATCCATATCTCTCCAATGGTTGTTGAGATATTTCAGTTTAGATAAAAGGACACTGTCATAACCACTAAAACCAATAACACCAGAAATTTTGCAAACTGGTTGCAGGAAGGTCTTGTTGGGACGAACAGCAGCGACCTCTTCTGTAGCTTTGGAAGTACTAAAAACCGACCCTTAGAAAGTTTAAAGGTTTTATTTATTTATAAACTGAACAAAATTATTAATGCAACAGTTTTGTTTTTGCCCCCATTCATCAGGAGCTGAACTCAAAGATCTTTCATGGTCACATGAACTGCACAATTATGGTTTTTGGTTATAATAATAATAATAATAATTTGTTTAACTGTTTCAGGGGGAGGAAAATGTATGTGGAGATTTGGAGTGGCCTTTTATTGTGGCCAGCCTAAGGCCTTTTATTGTGGCCAGCCTAAGGCACACCTGTGCAATCCCCATGCTGTCTGATCAGCATCTTGATATGCCACACCTGTGAGGTGGATGGATTATCTCAGCAAAGGAGAAGTGCTCACTGACACAGATTTTGACAGACTTGTGAACAATATTTGAGAGAAAAGGCCTTTTGTGTACATAGAGAAAGTCTTTGAGTTCAGCTCATGATGAATTGGGGCAAAAACAAAAGTGTTCATTTAATATATGTGTGCCAGTGTTACTTTTAAATTCTGCTGCCTCTCTTGGCAAGATTCCATCTCAGTGAGCTTTTCCTTGTAAATTCAGGTTAAATACTAAATAAATAAAATGCAGCAGTTCTTCAGAACAGGAACCAACACTTCAGATTCAGACTGGGAACAAGAAGCTCCTTCTGTGAAGGAAGTTTGTTTGTGCTGCGAGTCGGACTTGAAGCTTTGTTAAGAACAAAGTTCATGGCAGGAAGCTGCTGTGGTTGCGGCCTGTTGACCCACATTTATCAATGACCGCTAACAAATGGCTTCTAGAAAACAAACTATAAAAAACAACCACAAGAGTGGAGGTTCCTCCAAGTTCAACCCGAGGAGAGAGCAGAGGAAGCCTTGCAGTACTGCGATTCAGATTTACAGATGCATTAGGGACCCTTTTCATCATCCTCTCAAATATTAACTGAGTTGGAACGAAAATAAATATTTTAGTTGTGCATCAGAAATTGCAGAGAAGTGGTTTGATGCATCAGTTTTCTGGACATTACCAAAAATAAATCCAAGGTCTTTTTATCGACACAATATGTTTTTTAATCAGTATATGACAAAGTTTACAATCATAAAAATTGTACTTTAACATGATATCATCTCGATTGTCATTAACCTGCAGTTACAGATCTGCTTTATATTGATTACTTTGTTTAACAAGAAGAGTTTACAGCCATGCTAGCAGCTTTGTGAGGCTGTATTTATGAACAGCGGTGCTTTAAACTAAACGCTAACATCAGCATGCTAACATGCTAATGTTTAGCAGATATAATGTTTACCAAGTTCACCATCTTAATTAAGCGCGTTAGCATGCTAGCATTTTCTAATTAGCACTAAACACAAGGTACAGCTGAGGCTGATGGGAATGTTGGTTGTGAATCAATACACTAAGTAACCTGAACTTGTCAAAATTATGATGTACTTGCATGATTCTTGCAAGTTCTGTAATTTACTGTAAATTGCTTTGGATTAAAGCGTCAGCTAAAAAGAAATGACTGCAGACACAAAGAAAGATTTCCTGTCAGGTATTTCCCTGTCAGCTGTTAGAGCAGATAATCTGAAGTCTGCTGCTACATCGATTTCCTCCTGCACTTGTTTTTCTTCTGATGAACTGATGAGAGTGTGAAGATGAGGGGGGAAATCCACCATCAAGCCCACCACGGTGCAAACATCCTCTAGCTCAAACCTCACCGATGAGAAAAAGCCCGGACTTTGTTCACAGAAGAAGCGTGAAACCTCAAGGAAGAGTGTCTGTGAGGTACTTCACGCTGTCGGCAGCTCTCTGGAAACAGCTCACGGTGCGTCTCATTTATCGAAATGTGATACCACAATAGTTAAAAAGAAGAAACCACAGCTCTAAACTTTGTAGTTTTCATTTGGGCCCCATTTACACCTGGTGGTGACCTGTGATCTGTATTACCTGAATATTGGCATTTTGCATTTACACCTGGTATTAATACGCGGTCTCTTCATCTTGATTGTGCCCACATTGTGGTCGGGTCTCGATGATTTAGCGCAGCTGGCAGGTGCCCAGGTCAAAGGAAGGAACTTTTGTGCAGGGGGAACTTGCTACTGCTGCTACATCGTAGCTTTTGCAGGAAGATGTGGTGTTAGGTTTGAATTTGTCACCGGCTACAATCAATACTTTTTAAATCAACAATGCCTTACATGACTATTTATTTGTGAAAGTTGTTGCTCATAGTGCTGAGCCCACTCTCAGCTCATGCATCTTTCAGCTCATTGTTTAGGTTCTATAATCTGCAGCTGTGTTGATTCACTCCCGGCGCTCTCTTCAGCTTTGTTTGCAGTTGCAGAAGAAAATACTAACAGCAGACAGACACAGTTAGAGCTGGTGAACATGGTGGAGCATTTAGCAGCTAAAGGTATTTCCATCAGGAGCTGGTGGAGACCAAACACAGAGCTAACAGAGAGAGAATATTAGACATGACTCTAATGATCATGTTTCACTGTATGTGTACTCCTGTAAAATACATTTAAGGGATCTTAAAGATGACACAACGTTGTGTTTAACAGCCAAAACCTTATGTATATCCACATTATCTCCAAATCAAACTGTATTTAATCAAAGCCACTACAGGTACTACAGGTTATTTAAATGCTGCAGTTACTTTGTCATGATATTTGATCAACATTTTAAATATGATGCAAAATTACAGATTAGTGGCCCCACAGACCCTCACACAACCTTGAAGGATTTGTAATTTTACTGTCTATTAAAGCAACCATTTTGCATAGTGAGCACTTTTACTTTTTATACTTTACAGTACATTATGCTTGTAACATTAAGCACTCAAGTACAGTAGAATTTCCAATGCAGGACCTTTTACAGTGTAGTATTGTTTTGTTTACTTGAGTAGAAGGGTCCAAGTGCTGGTAATCAAAAAGTTCTGTATTAACCTTCAGGAAAGTACCCAACTCTTTTGATTATGTAGCAGTGCTGCTCCTGCTATCTTGTTTTTTCTCCCTGCAGAGAGAGGTGGGCGGAGCCTAACCTGATGTCTTGAACCTGGACAAGCTGGGCCCTGGTTATTGTGCCTCAGCATCACCACCCACCTTTTTGGTTTGCCTTCACATCACCACACATAGGTTCTCATAGGTTGTCGTAGTTAAAAATAAATGATAGTTTAAATGACTTTAAATCCTGTGAGGTCTCCCTCTTTGTCTAGATCCGTGACCCTGGGCTGTTAAAGCTCACTTAACGTTGACCTCAGCCCAGAGGAGGGAAGAGGTTAATCTGTCCCTCTCATGTTCTGTCCGCTAAACAACTAAACATCACACACACATGTTTAATTTCCTCACTTAGTTACTGTGAAAGTCTATTATGTGCAGGGGGTGTTTGTATTCCCCCTATCTGTGACTCTAACTTGTCGATTGATCGAACATCCTGTGGATGGAACGCCGTTTACCAAAAGGTTTTTTGGAAGATGTTTCGACACATGAGAGTAATGCTCTGTCATTACGTCGGGTAAATATCTGCGGGCACATTGTGAACCATTTCTCAGTGGTTCTGCTCTGCTGTATAAATAGTCGAGTTTACTCAAGACACATTTCACAATCCCAGGGTTCACAAGGAACTCAGCAAACAGAAGATAAAATGAAACAAACAAACATGTGACTGTGCATTTGAGTGTGTCAGAGGTTATTTCAGACTGTGGGTGAAGTAAGAACGAAAGAAACAGGGAGTTGGCTTTTGATCAGAAAGGTCTGTTTCATTTATTGCAAACAGAAAATAGACTTGATTTGTAGTTTCACAAACACACCCATGCGTTCACTCTTCAGATAATGTGAGATCAGCTGGCCGTGTCGGGACTGGCCGGCTCACCTGCTCTGCTTCAACAACCTCAAACCATCTGTTCACCTTCAGCACAAAAACCCCGTTGTTTCTAAATATGTGCTGAAGAGCAAATGTCAGGAGTTCAGAGTTTTGTTTTTATCAGCTACATGTTCATGAGTCAGACCTCAGCAGATCTTCATCAGGGTTCAAATGGGGAAACAAAACCCGAGTTGGACTTTTTTTATGCACTCATTCAGGGCCGTGTCCTAATTGGCTAATTGGGACAACAGGTGGGAGATATTGAGCGTCATGGAGAGATTCAGAGAACTCAAAAATATAAAAGATTAAACTCAAATGACAGATTATCTGTATTGAAATAAAAGTTGGTTGATTTCTTGATTCCAGCCTGGCCAGGCCTAATCCACCTTTTGCTTTTTTATTAATGCTATCTGTGTTCAGAGTCGATTCTTTAGGCGTCTGTTTGGGGATCATTTTGTAAAACAATTACATGGGACGATATACGTCAAAGATTGTATAATATCTTTGTTTTAATCAGGGTGTTTTCATGGATTTAGGTAACCCGGTTACTGTAAATCTGTTTATACGTGCAGCCGGTCAGCGACTCGATTTCTCCTCGGCTGGTAGTGAAACAGAAGTCTCAGTTTTGTGACTTAGATAAGGAGGATAAACATTAATGAATAAACTGGACCTCATTAGATCACATTCTTTGGACATTTAAAGAAAGTTGTTCCCAACTGAAATCCAAACACAGACACCTTCCTAAGATAATACTAGATATACTAAAGCTTCCCACATGCAGCGGTCACTGAAAAATCAAATTAAAAATATTTTTACATTTGATATGTAACAAGAGATAAATGAAGAGACACAGGATTAAACCTTGTTAATGTTCTTTTCATTTCACGGTGTCTTTAATTTGGCTTTGAATGGAAAGAAACTTAGTCAGACTTCTAAAGGAAATTATTTTAATTATCTCTCTCTTTTCTTTTTTCACATAAGACATAAGACACTTTAATTATTATTGTAGACGTACAACGAAAATTAGTTTGGCAGCTCTCAGTGACCAGCAGCATCAATAAAAGAAGGATAAAAAATTAACTATATAATAAATAATGTAAATATAAATATAAGCAGTAAAAATACTAATTGTCTATCAGTATAAAACTACATTGCACCAACCAGTTCAGCAGAGACATGGGTTGTGTGGTATCTACGCAATGTGCATGTGCTGTTTGAAATAAAGTGTTTGTGTGCATTCGCAGCAGATAAATAAATTAGTCTTTAGGTCTGTAACTCCTGTGAGAGGTGGGGTGATGGAGGCGACAGCTCTGGGGTAAGATTTCAGCTCTTTCTTCGGGAACACCGGTGTTTGTTTGTTTGTTTGTTGAGTGCATGCCAGGACTCACTGTGCTATCTTTTCTCACTTTACCCCATGTGGTTTCATGGTGTCACTTTTTGTTTCATGTGCTGAGGTTTTAAGGTTTTTCCACCTGTGAAACTTGCTGTCAGCTGAATATGATGTTACACAAACGCCACTGTCAACAGATCTTATTAGAGCAGTAGTCCGTATGAAAACTGTGAGGTCTGTGGATGATCCAGAGTAACTTTTGCATTCCTCGGGAAAGGCATTAACTTTTTAATAGACATGATTTGGCAAGGTGATCAGGGCCCCTAAATTATTTTCATATGAATTATGTGTTTGTGAAGATTCTCAGCCATTCAAGTCACAGTTATCCAAGAATAATGTTAAAATCAAGTAAGTTGTTAGTATCTTATCTCTATCTAAGTATCTTCAATCACGTCCAGTTGCCCTTGACTATAACTGAATTAATTGAAAAAGTTTTGATCGTTTTGAGACACTTGTTACTTGGTTTTCTTTGCCTTCTTCTTCTTGCGTCCTTTGGTAACACCTTCCTTTTTGTTTGCAGATCAGGTTTCTATAATGCGATAGATGAAAAGACGGAGAGAGATTCTACGACGGCGTATTGGGGCCATTGTAGATTTTTAAAAATTACGGAGTCAGGGAAGTGCGGTAGAAAAAAAAGTAGTAAATTTATGAGCAAAAATTGCACTTTCAGGTTTTTGTGCAGACAGGAGAAGAGGTGATCTTTCAGACAGATGAGAGGGACTGCAACAAAACCACTGAAAGCGTGTGTCACATCTTAGTCATTTATAGATGTCTGCAGTTCTTTCTCTTTTTTATGCTTTTGCTGTTTGAACAGATGAAAGTGTCTCACAATACTGGTTGGTGAAACTAGTTTACATGTGATGGCTGTTGTTATTTACATCTGCATAACCCACTTTTTCTACAGTACAGAGCCTTTAACAACACAAGCAAAATGAAAAATAGCACTTTCTATTTTCTCATAAATTTCAAAACACCAAACAAGTTCACACCTTGCTCATTAAGCCTCTCACTGCCAGGTAAATGTCTACGTATTTGAAGTATAACAGAGTTTTAAATCTGGAGTCTGTGGCGACGTTCCTGTGCTGGAGAACAGTATTGTATGCAGTCGTGCCAATAAAGCCGCATGAATTGAAACTGAATGGAAATGATGCAGCTCTCTCTCTCTTTGCAGCTGAGAGGAGGATGGCCTAAGAAATGTCCAAGAAAAGTTTCTGATGCTCCAGATAAAAAGGAAAACTCTTTGTTCAGAGGAAGGATAACAGTCAGAAACAGACAGTGATGGACAGCGAGGACAAACATAAATATTGGTGTAGCTTTTCCACATTGGAGAGTGCTGAGAGAAGAGAAGGAGCGAGGGCAGGTTTCAGAGTCGCATGAACTCAGATCTGACTTTCCAGAGGTCGTATTTAAAAAAAATCCAACCTGTATCAGATTTAAACTACATATGAAAGTGGCCCAAAGCCAAACTGGAATAAATCGAGACCTGGGCTGTTCACACTGTTATAAAACAATCAGATCTGAGTCACTTATAAGCAAAGAAAATCTGCATTGGGTCACTTTGAACTGAACGCAGCAAGTTTCTGCACTGCAGTTTCTTCTCAGAATATTACCCCCCTCAAATCCCTGGGTTTTGTTGTTTTAAACCTACAATGTCCTGAATACGCTGTCGTAGCGATTCAGTTTTCAGAGGGAGCAACAAAGAGAAACACAATGCGGATGAGAAACAGACAGAGAGAAAAGAAGAAGTGATATGAGTTGTGAGAAAGACAGACAAAAGGTTAAGGATGTTTGACCTTTCAACCCTCGTGGTGAGAAGTTAGGTTTGTGTAGTTAGCCAATGAGAAACATCTTTACAAAATACTTGACAGGATTTTGATTGGGTTGTTTTGACACATGGTTAGAAGAAGCCAAAAAGTCAACTGCTTTACCCCCAGAGAAGTGTCAGAATACTCTCTGAGTCGAACGACCACATTTGACGGACAGAAACATTCTTGATATAACTCCATCTGGTTGAAACATGTGCAACTGTCGACCTGGAGTTTCATCTCCGCCACACTAAAATGGCGGCACAGTTCATCTTGGTCCTCTGCACACGAGTAATAAATGAGCTGTGACGGACCGGGTCACCAGATTAGACTCAGCTTCATTCTTATTGCATCAGGGCTGCAACTAATCATTTTGGTTATCGATTCATTATTTTCTTGATTTATTGATCAATAAAATGTCAGGAAATATCTGAAAGACAAATTCCCAGATCCAAGGTAACTAAACTAATGAAACACAGGAGCTGTTGTTGATCTATTGTTCCTTATTTCCTTCTTTCAGGTCACCTTTCAAAACTGATCAAGACTTATGGTGCATTCAACTCAGGGATGGGACCATCCAAGCAGCTTGTAAATGCACAGTATGTGTCGACAGCCGGGTCAGCAGCTCTGAGGATGTTGACCTGATGATGGTGCTTGATGAAAAGTTGGGGGATCACTAAAGTCAGTAGGATTCATTCTCTTTAGACAAAAAGTCCTTCCAGTAACTTGAGATATTTCAGTCTGGACCAGAGTGGTGGATCCTGCTGTCACTGTAACCGCTCACACTACATCACATCACTTCCTGTGTTGTTCCAGAGAGATTTCGCCTGGGGGAGAAACATCTGATAAGCAGATAATTACGTTAATCCTTTTATCAATAACAGAGTGACCCCCAGAGTAACAGGGGTTTGTATCTTCTTTGTTTGTATTAGATTGTATCTAATCGGATTACCTTTCAGGAAGTTATAATACAAAAACGCTTTATTTACTTTAATAAATCACAATAATTTATAGTTTAAGAAATGACACTAGTAGACTTTCTTATGAAGTCAAATTTAAAGATCTACATGTGAAAATAAAACAGTGTAATGATAAAGTTGTGTGTTGCTTGCGCTTTCTGCCAGTCTGCTGCTTGTTTCTGGGAGGCCTGGACTCCATCCTGGCGCTCACCCCTCACATTCGACCTCTGACCCCTATGACCGGGTTCAAAGCCCTCTCAGGGTGGTGTTCAGGGGTGACGCGGGACACGGTGATTTGAAGCTGCCAGCTCTAAATGTTTCCACATGCTTCCGCTTGTGCGTCTGTGAGTTTGGATGTGTGAGAACCAAATCTGTGGGAAACCAGTCCTATGAAAAGAATCCTCCTGGAAAAGTCTGACATTACAAATACTGTCATAGTATTTGTTTATTGTGCTCATTTTTTAAATGGTAACCCTGGAGCTGAGAATTCATTATATCTGTGTTTAAATTGATTACAGATTGTAAACATTTATGAGTAAATAATCCAAATGAGCAAAATAATGGTGAACACTGCTGGTTATAAAAATCATTGATTTAATATTGGTTCAGATTTTACTTAGCCCATGCTGGATGATTAATACTTTTAAAATCCAATATTCTGTGTAAATAATGTGACGCCAACATAATTATTATATAATTCAATAAAGCAAGCTAGCTGCTGGTTTCCAATCAAAGTTACACAATGCTGCTAAGCAAATTAATTCCTGCATTTAACCATTTATTTTTTCACACTTTGCTACACTTTTATTGCCAAAAGTTTTTAGGACACCCCTCTGAATCATTTTATTCAGGGGCGAGTTTAATCTCAAAACGTTTCGCGTGTGCAACATTTTCGGACTGAACGACATGTTTCCTTGCAACGTTGCGCAACGTTCTGCAATAGGCTTCGGGGTATGTTTTCTCCCGTTTGGTGGGCATGTCTCTCCCAATCAGCTGCGACACATTTGTGTAAAATTTGTGTAAAGATGATGTAACACAATGATGTTAAAAAGGCAGGAAAATTCAGTCCGCTTGCACAGCAGGGTGTTCAGGGAACCACCGTTTCAGTTGAAAAAATGTTTTGCTACGTTTTCTCTACACTGAACTCGCCCCGGGTGTTCCAATCACTTTCATGGCCACAGGTGTATAAAATCAAGCACCTGCTTCTACAAACATTTGTGAAAGAATGGGCTGCTCTCAGGAGCTCATTGAATTCAAGCGTGGTACCGTGATAGGTTGCCACCTGTGCAAGTCTATTTGTGAAATTTATACTAACTAGTAAATATTCCACAGTCAACTGTTAGTGGTATTTTAACAAAGTGGAAGAAATTGGGAACAACAGAAAGTCAGCCATGAAGTGGTAGGCTACATAAAATCACAAAGCGGGGTCAGCGCATGCTGAGGCGCACAGTGCGCAGAAGTCGGCAAATTTCTGCTCAAGAAAATAGTCAATAGCTACAGACCTCCAAATGTCATATGGTCTTCGGATTAGCTCAAGCACAGTGCGTAGAGAAGTCAATGGAACGGGTTTCCACGGCCGAGCAGCTGCATACATGCCTTACATCACCAAGTGCAATGCAAAGCGTCAGATGCAGTGGTGTAAAGCACAGCGCCACTGGACACTAGTCCACTAGCAGTGGAGTGACGAATCACGCTTCTATGCCTGGCAATCCAATGGACGAGTCTGGGTTTGGTGGTTGCTGGAAGAACGGTATTTGCCTGACTGCATTGTGCCAAGTGTAACGTTTGGTGGAGGGGGCATCATGGTATGGGTTGTTTTTCAGGCGTTGGGCTTGGCCCCTTAGTTTGAGTGAAAGGAACTGTTAACGCTTCAGCATACCAAGACATTTTAGACAATTTCATGATCCCTTTGTGGAAACAGTTTGGGGATGGCCCCTTCCTGTTCCAACATGACTGTGCACCAGTGCACAAAGCAAGGTCCATAAAGACATGGAGGAGGGAACTTGGTGTTGTGGAACTTGACTGGCCTGCACAGAGTCCTGACCTCAACCTGACAGAACACCTTTGGGATGATTTAGAGCAGAGACTGCGAGCCAAAACGTTTGGCAATATAGTGTATATTCTTACCAGACACAGACTCACACAGCTTGGCAGCGTCAGAGATTTACTTCAGTTTAGAAGCCAATTCAACCACCAACCCAGCAGCAGGACATTGTTGCAGTACGGTGACAGAAGACTGCAGATGTTCAGCAAGGACGGGGCGTGTCGGCAGTTCAATGACAAGGGAAGGAGGTCGCTACAGCTCAGCAGAGTCAGGAATCCACTTTGGCTAAGGAGTAGGGATTTGCTGCAGTTCTAGGGCAGAGAATGGCTGCGGCACCGAGATCAAATTCAAATGCAGCTCAACTGGAATCAGAACATAGTTGTAACTCAGCAGGGTCAAGAGGCTGCTACAGCTCAACAGAGTCAGAGGGGCTGCAGTTCTGGAAACCGCTCTTGCTCAGGAGCGGGGAGTTACTGCTGTTCGGGGCCTGATGCCTGCAGAAATTCAGGCTCATGGGATGGTGTAATTTGCAGCTCTGCAGGGACAGGGTGTTGCTCCAGCTAAGTGAGAACAGGACTCTTGGCTGGTCGAGTTGCCAACCGTAGACAAGGAGGAGTCGGCGGGGTTGCAAATGTAGAATCGGGAACAGGTGTCGGCCAGACTGCAGACAGGGTATTAGGCAGGAGCCAGGAGTTGGTGACGCCAACCAAAGTCTCTAGGGACCTTGGTGACAAAGTCTCTGAAGACCTAGAGAGCTAAATCTCAATGTAGCTGGCCTGGTGAGTCATTGTGGAGCTGGACAACATAGTCTCTGGGAGGCTGATCAGCCAAATTTTGGGAGAGCTGGACAGGAGCATCTCCGTAGAGCTATCCAGCAAAGTGTCTGTGGCACTAGACAACTTTGGCTCTGTGTCACTTGCCAGCTCAGCCTCTGGATAGGTGGGACAGCTCTGTCTCTAGGGTGCTGATCAGCTGAATCTCAGGACTGGAGAACAAACTATCTGTGAAGCTGACAAGCTTAGTCTCTGAGGTACAGGGCAACAAAGTCTCTCGATAGTTGGGTAACTCCAACTCTAAGATGCTAGGCAGCTTCATCTCCATGCCTCCGTGCAGCAAGTCACTAGACAACAATGAGGACAAGGAGCTGGAAAGCGACGACTTAGTGAATCTGAGGGGCAGTGAAGAAGCCCAATGACGCTGGGAGCCACTCTTCCTGCTGGAGGGCTTTGATGAAAGTGGCTATAGGGCGAGATTCTGCATGACAATGGTCCAGAACTAGCTGATAGGCTAGCTGACTGAATGCTAACAGTTTGTGTGCTCGCTCGCTCGCTCCAAAGCATGGTCCAACAAAAATGAAGCAGAGAACTGTATGTACGGGAGTCTCTACTTTGATGAGGTCCCAGTTTCTTTGGGTGTGGGGGAGTGTCTTGTAGGCTAGCCTGGAACTACAGAAGGTAGACTCATGAGCCATGTCTGAGGAACAGGAAACAGGGACAGGCTGAGGAGCTAACAGATGATTAGCAGAGAGACAGGACATGATGGCTTAAGACTCACAATCCCGAGCCTAAGCAGCTGCATGTCAGGTCAGAGTGAAGACTGTTTGCCAAGAGGCACGGATGAGAGCAGGTTGAGCAAGTGTTCAATCATCCGAGTAATCAGGGTCTTGTGCCAGTGAGTCAAATGTTCCTGTTGTAAAAATATGTTTCGTGTTAAACAACTCCATAAATCTGGCCTGTGACGCCTTCAGCAGAGGTCTTGTTGACCTCTGCTGCTGCATGGTCGCACTTTCATGAGTCAACACTCACAGCGTTAGTGTCAGGCCCACCCTACATCTACACACCTTTTCCTGGAAAGAATTGGTATTCAGTTAAATATGTATGTCTTGCACTCAGAGCTCAGTTACATTGAACAAATCACAACAAGTAAAACTAGCACATGTCTTGGTCCCATTTGTTCTATGATATTCTATGATACCAATTTTTTTTTTTACTCCTCCACTACATTGAAACTATTACTGACAATAGAAACACCCTGCTGCACGCTATCAGTCTACATTTCCAGCAGTGGATCAGTTGTAGAATGAAGCACGCCCTGCTTTTATAGTTCAAGCAACAGCTCTTAACAGAGGTCTGACAAAGCTCAACCCCTCACCTGACACAAACCAGGAAACAGCTTCTTATCCTTCCTCACTACAGAGAGACACAGAGTGAAAAACAGACGATCAGATTCACCTTCAGACCAAACTACCAACTTCCTCTGAGTGAGTTCAGCTACAGGAGAGAAAAGTGGAAAACTACAACACTGCTGCTTCAACCTGCTGACGCTCCACACACTGAAGGTGAGTTTGACTAAAAACATAACATTAAAGTAGAGGAGGGAGGGGAGCCATGACTGACTGTACTTTCTGTCTGCTGGGTTTCAGCTTCAGAGACAAAATGGCTTCCAGATCAGAGGAGGATCTCTGCTGTCCGGTCTGTCAGGAGGTCTTCAGAGATCCTGTTCTTCTGTCATGTAGCCACAGCTTATGTAAAGTCTGTCTGAAGAGTTGGTGGAGACAGAAACAAGCACTTGAGTGTCCAGTTTGTAAGAGAAGATCTTCAAGGTCAGAACCACCTTTAAACCTGGCGTTAAAGAACCTGTGTGAGGCCTTCTTACAGGAGAGAGATCAGAGAGCTTCAGAGGCTCTCTGCAGTCTGCACTCTGAGAAACTCAAACTCTTCTGTCTGAACCATCAGCAGCCAGTGTGTCTCGTCTGCAGAGATTCAGAAAAACACAGAAAGCACAGATTCAGACCCGTCGATGAAGCTGCACGACAACACAAGAAGGAACTTCAGGAAACTCTGGAGCCCTTAAAGGAGAAGTTAAAGGTTTGTGAACAAGTTAAAGAGGAGTTTGATCAAACAGCAGAACACATGAAGGTCCAGGCCCGACACACAGAGAGGCAGATTAAGGAGCAGTTTAAGAAGCTTCAGCAGTTTCTAGAGGAGGAAGAGGAGGCCAGGATGGCTGCACTGAGGGAGGAAGAGGAGCAGAAGAGTCAGATGATGAAGGAGAAGATGGAGGCTCTGAGCAGAGAGATAGCAGCTCTTTCAGACACAGTCAGAGCCACAGAGGAGGAGCTGAGAGCTGAAGACGTCTCATTCCTGCTCAACTACAAGGCTGCAGTGGAAAGAGTCCAGCAGCGCCCCCTGCTGGATGATCCACAGCTGCCCTCAGGCGCTCTGATAGACCAGGCCAAACACCTGGGCAACCTGGCCTTCAACATCTGGAACAAGATGAAGGACATGGTCTCCTACACTCCTCTCATTCTGGACCCAAACACTGCTGGTCCAGAACTAATCCTGTCTGAAGATCTGACCAGTGTAATACGAGGAGGAGAGAGACAGCAGCTTCCTGACAATCCAGAGAGGTTTGATAGTTTTCCCATTGCTGTTGGCTCTGAAGGCTTTAACTCAGGGATTCACAGCTGGGATGTCGAGGTTGGAGACAGTACAGGCTGGGGACTGGGTGTGTCAGCAGAGTCTGTTCAGAGGAAGGGACTCATATGGTCTGGATTATGGAGAATGGGGTTCTCTGGCAGTAAATACTCAGTGCGCTCACCACCAGCTTCATCCATTGATCTCAGAGTTCAGAAGAAGCCCCAGAGGATCAGAGTGAATCTGGACTGGAACAGAGGAAAGCTGTCGTTCTCTGATCCTGATACTAACACACACATACACACCTTCACACACACTTTCACTGAGAGGCTGTTTCCGTACATTTACACTGAGGATGAAGTGAAGCTGTCAGCAATGAATGTCTGTGTGACAGTGGAACAGAGCAGTTATAAAGAGGATGATGATTTTTAATATATTACTTTGTATTGATCACAATATATGTCTCCCACATTTGCAGGCACATTGCAGCGTGTACAACTTTTTTATTGGGGGTGGTGATCAGGGCTCTCACTAGATGATGACACTGGAGTGGATTTTGACTCCTGTCCCATCCAGTTCCTGATAAAAATACATTAATAAATCAGAAAATAGCTTTTATTAATATTACAAATGCATATTTACATATTAAAATATGATTTATGATCTGCTCCTGCTGACCTTCCAGTCCTATGATGTTCAATGAAATTGACTTCCATCCAACAGGAATCCCAAAAAAAATTCCAACCTCTACCTCCCACCTCAGAGAAGATGCAGGTTTTGTGAAGATAAAAGATATACCAATTACAAGAAATGAGGGGACATCCCTAAAGAAACTAACTTTTAAATTAAGGATAATCAGTTAACTAACCAATAAGTTATCCAGTAAATTTTGTACATTTCCTTTTGTCTGATTGTCTAACACAATTTTTATTTTCATTTGACATGTAATAAGCAATGTGTACCATGTAAACACTGCTATCTACTTACTAATGGACAAAAACCTCTGTAACATCACCATTGTAAATCTGTATAATATTGTAGCTATTATACTGTTGTTAAACACTTAAACACAAGGTCAGGTAAGTAAGTTGAATGATCTGCTGAAATAGCTGTTGGTTTAAATGTGTTTTCCTTGAATGCTCTTATAATCACTGTAATTTTGTTTTGGGTCAGGATTGATTGACCATAGATTGAAACTAACTTTCAATATAGTTTCAGCAAGAAAACCTTCCTCCACACCCCAAAACTCTGCTGCACCATCATCCTAGCTAGTCTCGCGAGATATAGCACGAGATTTCTTGCGTTTTAACTAGCCAACTTCTAGCCAACGGAATTATTGGCCTAGCTGAAGAAGAAGTGTAGTTTTAACCCTTACACAACCAACTGAAGTCGTTAAAGTGGAAAACTCTACCACCCTTCAGGTACATATACGCAGCAAAAAAGCATTCGAATGTTCTCATGAGAGTGAGGAAGGACAGCCTTCACTGAAGTGTTTCATCAAACCGCTCCACCCCTTTATTGTAAATCTGTCAGTTTTAGGATGCCGCAATCTTTGAATGGTCCAGCTACATCGGTATAACTGAAACAAGCCTTGCATTGGATTTTAACTCAGTGTTATTTTCGGTCTGAACACACCCACCACCAGATTTGCTGAGTGTTTAGTTTCTTCCTGCACATAGAGGCGTTGAGGGCACTAACCCTTTAATCCACAGCCTCACTGGAAGTAAATATTATGATGAGGACTGCCAAGAATTAGACATAGCCCTTCTATGCTATGAATAGATCCTGTGTGTCGTTACTGTAAGTGTTTGTTCTTATTTGTGTCTTATCTGAGGACAAAAATGTTTAATTTAATGAGAGCTATTTAAACTATTTCACCCTAAAATACTTTCAGTTATAAAAAAACATATTCTGTACAGCACTGTCACATGTTTAACTACATGTTTAACTGCTTAAGAGCTGAAATGAAAGGTCGATGAACTGATTCGTCCAGTGGTTCTCAAACTTTTTCTGTCAGGTCCCCCTTCAAAAGCCAAAAAAGGTTCATGCCCCCCACCCCAGCAAAAGTTGATTTCATTATTATCAACCATTAATAATACAGGTTAGCCTTGTAGTGAAGTGCCACTGGAATACCAGGCTTTATGGAATTGATAGACTAACCACTGGAATAGTCAATCAATCAATTGAAAATAAATCAACAGTAAATAACTTTTCAATCAAATATTTCAACCAATCTTTGGTGTCTGCTGTTTTCTTCTGTCTTTGGCCTGTTGATCGGACAAAACGAGACATCAGAAGATATAATTTTGGACTCTGGGAAGCTGTGATGGACATTTTTCAACACATTTTCACTCCCAACTCGCCAACACTTGGTCAAGACCCCTTGGTGTCACTTTTTAACACCCTGGGTATCCTGAAGTGTTGTTTTCAATGTATAGAGCTTCGTGGTCAAGTTAGCAACTTTAAATATGCAACGTTGGGTTAGACTTTCAAAATTAAACTACTAAACTTTGTGAAATGGAAAATGTTTCACGTTGTAATTTTGTTGGGTTTAGGAAAACTTCATGATTTGGCTTAAAATACTTATGTCACTTAAGTTATGTTACTTGTGTGGAATAAGGAATAAATCAATCAAGGTTGACTTTTTGTTTCACATTGGAAACAAACACTAGTCTCTTGGTTGAAAGTCCAATTTCTGGCCCACCCGCGCAATCCAACCACCTCCTTACTCAGACTGTACTGTTATATATTATACACCCACCTTTAGTCTTCATAAACGACGCTACAGAGTCAGTACACGCCAATGGGTATTGACCATACATCCATATGTGACGCCGGTTGCATTTTTCACAATTTTCACATTTTATAGAGAAACAAAAAATAACTGGAAGATTAACCAATAATGAAAAACGTGATCCAGTGAAGTAATATCAATCCAAAAGTGCCATTTTCTAATGTTGCATCCAGCCCGTTCTCATTCCCAGTTCACTTTGTTACATCCTTCAGCATCTGGCACCAATGCACATGGCAGCCTTTTGCATCATAGTTCAATGCTAAAAGTAGGCCTACTATAAATAACAGAAAAACCCAAGTAAAACAGAAATTGGGCTTTCACCTAGGACACTGGTGTCCATTTCCACTATTTTTCTGAACTCATTAATACAAATAAACACAATCCCAGGTTTCTGTTTAAGACTGTGGATCAGCTGGTAAAGCCTAACCCCTCCTTGTGCCTCAGCTGGAAGTAATGATGACTGTGAATTGTTTTTATCTTATTTTTACCAATAAGGTGGTGTCAATCAGAGCCTCTATTACCCCCGTGGCCTCTTACTCAGAGGTTCCTCACCAGCAACAAGAGAGTTTTAACGAGTTTTATCCCATCAACTTGCCTGAGCTTTTAAAAACAGTATCACAAATGAGAGTGTCCTCCAGCCCACTTGATGTAATACCTACAAAGTTTTTACTGAAAGTAATAGATTCTGTTGGGCCCCATTTGATCTCTGTTTTCAACAGCTCCCTATCTACTGGTTGTGTCCCTGATTATTTTAAAACGGCTTGCGTGAACCCACTTTTAAAGAAACCTGGTTTAGATCCCTCCCTCTTCTCCCAAAATCTTTTATTGCAAAGATTCTAGAAAGAATTGTGTCCAAACAGCTGCTCACTGTAATGGAAAATAACAAAAGATTTGAAAAGTTTCAGTCTGGTTCTAGGAAGTACCACAGCACTGAGACTGCCCTGCTTAAAGTCACCAATGACCTTTTAATGTCTGCTGATGAAGGCATGTGCTCAGTCCTGGTACTCCTGGACCTCAGCGCTGCTTCTGACACCATTGATCACAACATCATGTTAGACAGACTGAGGAACTGGGTGGGGATCTCTGGTACTGCCCTAGAATGGTTTTCATCCTACCTGTCAAATAGGAAGTTTTGCGTGTCTGTAAACAACTATGTCTCTTCGTTCTGTCCAGTTAAATATGGTGTGCCTCAGGGGTCGGTCTTAGGAACCATTTTGTTTTCCTTGTATCTGCTTCCCCTTGGACATATTATCCATAAACATGGTATTTCTTTTCATATTTATGCTGATGACACACAAATATACTTGCCCGTCAGATCCACAGACCCTGGAATGCCTTTGTGAAGTTATAAAATGGATGTCAAATAATTTCCTCCAGCTGAACAGAAATCCTGGTCATTGGGTCCCAGCAGATCAAATACTGCGATCTGCTGGTTCCCTAGTAAATCACATTAAGCCTGTTGCAAAGAACCTTGGTGTCTTTGATAGTAATTAAAATTTCGAGCAGCACACCACAAAGCTTGTTATTATCTTAGAAATATAGCAAAAATTCGATGTATGTTAACTTTTAAGGACACCGAGACCATTTTACACGCCTTCATCTCATCACGCCTGGATTATTGCAACAGCCTTTTCACCTGTTTAACCCAAAAATCTATTGATTGACCCCAGACTGTATAGAAACTCAGCTGCCAGGCTTTTAACCAGAACAAAGAAATATGACCACATTACTCCTATTTTAGCTTCATTACACTGGCTCCCAGTATGTTTTAGAATTGACTTTAAAATTCTATTGATCACTTTTAAAGCTCTTCATGGCCTCTCGCCTTGTTATATTTCTGACCTTTTAGTCCCATACGCACCAGCACGTACCTTGAGATCCTCGGGCAGAGGTCTGTTGTCTGTTCCAGAGTCTCGACTGAAAACTAAAGGGGACAGAGCGTTTGCTGTCAGGGCCCCGAGGCTCTGGAACAGCCTGCCCGAGGAAATCAGGTCGGCTGAGTCAGTGAACTCTTTTAAGTCCCTTCTTAAAACATACTTTTATAGGAGAGCCTTTCCTGATCTTATTTAACTTTATTTTATCCCTTTTATTTTATTGTATTTCACTAATTTTATATTAATTTTTCATGCTCTTATCTTGTTTTTTTTGTATTATTCTTTACACTTGTTAAAGCACTTTGTAACTTGTTTTTGAAAAGTGCTCTACAAATAAAGATTATTATTATTATTATTTATTATTTCCTGTGCGAAACAAAAGGTCTGATTCAAAACACTTTTTAGTGACGTTATGTAAGTCACGTTATTTAACTTACGTAATTTAAGCATCGCTGTGTAACGCCCTGGGATGAAAACCAATTGTTGCATCAATAGCTATGTCTGACGCCAAATAGTCGGAGATTCGACTGTCAATCTCACAGTTGAAGCTTAACAAAATGACGATCATGCCATTTTTGCGATATGGGAGTGCTCAACATAGAACTACCAGCTTTCTTCCAAGAAGTTAATATACAGCCTATTACAATGTACATTTCAACATATAATGCTGTAAATAAACATGTATAAAGAAAAAAAGCTTTTAATAAATTACCAAAATTACCCTTAAAGAAGGGGGGTCAGTGTGCATGTGTAGGCGTAGCGTGAATCTAAAATCTAAATGTGAATGTGTTTGTACGTGGCAGAGAGATGGAGCCCCAGCTTCACCGGTGTTGTTCACCGGACGTACGGATCATTTATCACCATTGATGAACCACGCTAAGAATATAATATCATTTTTAAATAGTACTTGAAATAAACCCCAGCCGCACCGCACGCACGCAAAACTATGCACAAGACCGGTGAACGGCAGAGCAGAGAGAAAATGATTAAAGCTTGATTTATACTCCTGCGTAGGGTATAGCCTTTCAAATGTTACTGACCGAATGGATCACATTCTGGGCCCTGCGATGGGTTGGCGGCCTGTCCAGGGTTCCAGCCGACTGCGACCCTGTACGCAGGATAAGTGGCACGGTGGATGGATGGATAGATGGATGGATAGATAGATCGATCACATTCTGATAGCAAAACAAGTAATTTCGCTCGGGTTGTGACGGTCAAATATATTGATCCGCCATGTTACAGCTGCTATTCTGGCCACTAGTAAAAGTTACTCCAAAGAAAAGGGCACTTCCTGTCGGCTCGGAGGCATTGCGAGGCTACCCAGCCGGCCAATCACAGTTCTTACGGTCCACGACGCCTCAACGTGTAGTTACATTTTTGAGGAGGTGCACGTTAGGCTACTGCGTAGGGTACGGGGCTACGTAGCGGCTATGCTGTCTATTCAACACAGAAGAATAAATTCCGCTTAAAGCTGAGCTACTGTGTCGCCCGCTCGCTCTACTATCAGTCGACTATAGGCAAGACTTGACAATTCTGATTCGACTATGTAAATCTTTAGTCTGGGACAGTCCTACTCCAAACAGGAACAAATTTTCATATTTTATGTTTAGTCTTGACATTCATTACATGTCATTAACTCAAGGTCCACTTACTTTTGTCAATGTTTTTCAAGAGTTTGATCATTGCTCACATCAGTGCCGTCAAAATATCTGTCATACACATTTTGCTTACTTGGTAAGCTTACTTATAATTGTTGTACCACCCTTATTAGTGATGAGTGAAACTTACTACATCAAGCTCACTCACCATCCGATTTCTCTGATGTAGATGTACACTTGGCCCGCCCACCATAGAAACCTCAGACCACCAAAAATATTCTTACATGTCAACTAATGTTGCAGCGAAATGCAAGGTTCTTAATTGTAATTGGCTATAAAATTTTAAAGAACTATGAAGCTCCTTATTTGGCTCATTTTACAACTCCACCCTAGTGCTTTTATCCAGAACACTTTGCATCTTACCCGTTCACAGCAGAGAGTTGCCATGCCACCGTGACAGCTTAGACATTTTTCCTTATCGTACTTATGACTAATTAGCTCTGCTGCAATACAAGATCAATGCTGTCTTTGTTTTCAGCTGTTGGTTGAAGTAATTTGGTGCAGGTAGACATTAATACTGTTTCCTTTCACCAAATGAATTAATTACAATCAATTCAACAGACTCAGACCCACTGATCACACTCACTGAGACACAGCTTGACCCAGTTTAAAGGAATTTGCTGCACTGAGGGAAAAATGGGGAAAGGTCTGAAACTCGTCACTAAAGTCTGCTGCCACTTCCTGTCGGTGAGACTGGATTTTCTCCTTGGCGCTGGTGGATATTTGCGCAGGCTTGAGGAGGCCTTGAACGGGTTCTTTGATGGGTCGGGATAGCATGAGGTGGGAGAGCAGAGCTCGGGTTCAGGTTAATCCTCTAAATAGAACAAATACAGCCAGAATTACAGGAGGACAGAGAGCAGGAAGACATTTAAACTAAGTACATTTACTGTAGTGCTGTACTTTGGTACAAGTTTGAGGTACTCCACTGTAAATATTGTACTTTTACTCCGCTACATTTAACAACAGTTACTTTGAATATTAATACAGGTGAAGAAGCCCAGCAGTTTACAAAGCAGTTGACATTTTACCATCTGAAACATTAGTGATGCTCATACGGTAATGCATCAATAATTATAATGTATTGTCCTGAAATGGGCTTTCTGCATAAAAAGGACTTGATGCAAATACTTTAAAGTAGTAAACTGTTGTATGCGGGACTTCTACTTGTAACAATATTTTTACACTGTGGTATTACTTTTACTTAAGTAAAAGTTCTGAGTACTTCTTCCACTACTGGTTATATGTAGCTGTTTTAATGCAGGTTAAAAATATCCCTTCTCATTGCTGTTTTTCTACAACAACATGCATTTACTTTCTTGTTAACTTTAATGAAGATGGTGAACATGTTGTAAACCATTCTTTTTACTGCCATTGAGACAGCAACTGATCACCAGGTCCTCCTTCTTCTTTTGTGTTGAAAGAAGTTTGTGCTGTAAAACATTTTAGCAGATTTCATGTGGAAACCGACCTGGTGTTGCACAATACAGTCTGCCGAGAAGAGGCCATGAACACATTTATCACTGATTGATTACAGCAGGGATGAAGCAGCAGCTTAAGAAATGGTTCATTATTACTGTCTTTACAAAAGTGAGATAAGAAGATGGATTTCAGACAGAGCTGGAGTTAGCATGTAGTTAGTCTAGTTTAGCCTAAAGAAGGGGGGAACCGTTAGTCAGGCTCTGTCCGAAGTTTACCAACACCTCCAAACCAATTAATTAACGCCTCCTATTGCTTTGTTTAAAGATGAATTGCAAATTGTGAAAGAATTTCAAGAAAATCTTTAAAAGACTGTGTGAGTATATTTGAGTTGGATCATCCGTCACAGAAGAAGAGGATACATTGAGATAACGTCCTAAAAGGA